ATACGCGGTCCGCCCCAATAGCTTTTTCACGTCTGGAAAAACGGGTTAGTGATATTTTTTGAAGGTGCAAAGCACAGTCTTGAACACTTAGCGTATCCAGGGGAACTCAAACGATGAATATCCAAAAGGTGCCATTCTGCCGAGCCGCTCGCTGCCTTTAAAGTCGCTAACTAAAGACTGACCAGGTTGTGAAGTGTGCGGAGTCTTGCCGGGATTTCGTAGCCAACTGAAGCTGATGCCGCCATGGAATGTGCAGGAGTTGGTTGAGCGAATTGACCTAAAATTGTAACGTATATGTACGAAGCACAAAAATCAGCCAAAAGCAAAAATAAGCGGCGAAAGAATACTAGATTGCAGATCTTCTTCATCTTCTGGTCCAAAGCCAAGATCTTGCAAAGTGTCATTAGTCGATGGCACATTTGTCTCAGATGGTGCCGTCTTCATGTCGCTCTGCTTAAGAAAGTGTAAATCAGAACATGTCAACACCCCATGAAGACTGAATGCTATTCGGCTAACTTTTTTCCAGAACAAGAGAGAAGAATGCGTTAATGTGCTGATGCTGAATATATCAAGCAAACAAAAACATTTAAGAAGATTAAACTCACGATATCATCATCGAATTGTTTGATAGAATTCATATATTTGAGATGTTTGTTCTCTTCCTCCAAAGTGGCAACACGCTAAAACACAATGTTAAGAATACAGAACGATAGTGAATACTTCGCTACCTGTTCGGAAGTTTGGAGTTTAATTTGGGTTGAACTCAGCTCATCACGAAGCCATGCGTTCTCTTGACATAGACGTCGCCGCTGTGCCTATATTTAAGAAATAAATAGTGTAGTGAAAATTGTATCAATCAAGAGCTCAGATTTATAACTGTAGACAGATATGAACCCAAACCTAACCGCACTCACCTGATATTTTTGCTTCTCAGCTTCGAGATTGTTTAAATGAGACATGATCGACATCATCATCTGAAGAAAGAAAACTTTGATGAATCAGCGTATTGAAAAACAGCACCAACAGCTTACCGTAACTTCTTCTAGCCCATTTGAGATACTCGTAACGTTAT